TAAAATTAACTTTTTCAATCATCCCTGCAGGAAAGGGTTTGTTGTGTCTGTGGATAAATGGGTAAGCCTAAATTGATGTGAAGAGATGAGAGTATGAAAAAATGTGTGTGCTGGTAGAGAAGTTGGGTGAAAATAGATGCTGCCCAGCTAAAGCAAGCAGGCAGCAGCAATATAGGAAGATGTTGGAGGCAGATGATCATTTTAGCGGCAATGGTAAAGGCATCATTGCATACTGCACAGGAGAAGGCACTCCCTTATTTTACCAAGAAAACCACATGGATAGAAAATATAACATGATTAATCATAGAGTACTGGACAATGGGCCCCTCAGGTTCCATTCAGACTGCTACTGAGGAAGAGCTGAGGATCTTTTGGAATACTAATGGTGTTTATGACATGGCTACATTAAAGCCTCAGGATGTCTAGTTGCTGATGCTGCCATACAAGACAATAAAATCCAAAACTGCAAAGACAGAATTACAGTAGGAACATGGAATGTAGAAGTATGAACACAAGAAAGCTCAACACAGTGAAAGATGAAATGGAAAGACTACAAATTGACATCTTGGGCATCAGCAAATTGAGATGTCAGAAGTCAGTATGTGCTTGGTTGATTATAGAAAGGTCTTTGATTGTGTTGATTGTGTCAAGCTGTGGAATGTGCTTAGAAAAATAGGAATCACACGACGTCTCATTGTTCTCATGTGACATTTATTTGCATGTCAGGAAGCTACAGTACAGACAGAACATGGTGAAACAGACTAGATCCAGGCTGGAAAAGGAATGAGGCAATGGTGTATACTCTCCCCTTATTTATTCAATCTATATGTGGAATACATACTGAGGGAAGCTGGACTGGAAGAAGATGAGCATGGTTTTAAAAGTGGAGGAGGAAACACCCACAATCTGCATTATGCTGACGACGCTAGTCTGATGGCTGAAAATGCAAATGAGTAATAAAACTCAAGGAGCAGAGTGAAAAAAATGGGACTAGGGTTAAATATAAGGAAGATCAAACTAATCACAACAGGTACAGCAACCAGCCTTAGAACTGACAGTGAAGATACTAAAGGGATGGACAGTTTTTGCCTTTTAGGATCAACCAACAACAGTAAAGGAACCAGCAGTCAAAAAATACACCACAGACTAGCACTCCATAGAGTACCAATGAATGCCTTGGGAAAGTTATTCAGATGCCAGGATGTCTGTACTTACAAAGATCAGAATTATGCAGGCAACAGTTTTCCCTATGATACTCTATAAACGTGAAAGCTGGACTTTGAAGAAGCAGAATAGAGTACTGACATTTTTTAACTTTGGAGTTGGAGAAGACTTCTGAGAGTACCGCGAATAGATAAGAAAACAAATGAATAATCAGACAAATCAATCCAGAGTTCTCACTCAAGGCACAAACAACCAGGCTCAATTTATCATACTTAAACATACTGTGTAAAAGCCTAGCTCTCTTGAGAAGGCTCTAATCCTGGGAAAGGTGGAAGGAAAGAGAGGAAGAGGAAGAACCAGCAGCAAGATGGATTTTCTGTGGACAGTGAAGTAAAAGTGCAAAACAACCCGTCACACAATCATACTAGACTTTTAAAATGGCTGCTACATCTGGGCTGCAAAAATCTGTTTTCCCTCTTTCCATTTAGTGGTTATCTGAGGTTTGCAGCCCAGGCATGGTAACCATAAACGAATAGTGGATAAAGTTAAGTGGAGGCAAAGCATGAAATTCTTTGACAGAGCTTCTCCAGAATCTGGCTGTCACTGAAAGCCCATGATAACTCTCCTGTTCCGATTAAAATATTGGATAGACCTCCCAATTTCTCAGCTATAATAAAGTTCAGGATCAGGCTGGGCCACCAGATTTCTACTGTGATTATTTTAGCATGACTCCAACTAGTTTTCTGCAATTATTTTCTTCGTATTTGGGATCTAAGGTGCAAATATGCAAATAAAATGAGGTAATGGACATGACTGGTGTAGAGGATGGGAAAATGATACCACAGTAAGAACACCATGTTTTCAAGATGATAATCTGGTTTCTAAAACATTTTCCTCAAACTAATACTATTGGACTCATCTCATGGGGGATTCCACATTGTGATGGAGGACTCTCCCAATGCTAAGAAATTCTACAGTACTCTACTCTCTCTCACACTACACACACACACATGCACACACACACGTGCCCTCATGTCAGTGTTGATTCCTGGCAACTGCCTGGACATGGTCTCTGCAGTTTTCTTGGCAAGACTTTCGAAGTGGTTTGCCTAGAGCTGAGAGTGACTGGCCCAAAGTCACCCAGCTGGCCCGTGCCTAAGGCAGGACTAGAACTCACAGTCCCTGGTTTCTAGCATTGTACCTTAATCACTACACCAAACTGGCAATACATAGCCTATGCAATCTCTTCCCATAGCCCATTCCCTTTAGCAGCTGCTTTAAAGTGTAGCAGTCAGGCACCATATTTGAGCTCCTGCACATTCTAAAACACGACTTCCAAACTGAATTGGGAATCCTGCACAGCTCTAACACATGGTACAACTCATAATAGAATGTTTATTTTAGTTCCATGTCATGTTGTAAAGCAACTATATGAAAAAGTTCTTCAGGTCCTCACTGCCTTGACTGAACACACTCAGAAGCCAAAATTACTATAAAAGCAGTGGATGTGCTTCACAATGAAGTCATTAATCCATTAGACATTATGAAAACATAGAAAGTGTTGAAGTTCTGAATTAGGAACCAGCACAGTAAAACAACAGGCACAATATTTCAGCAAAGTTCACTGAATACAATAAATACCCACATCAGCCCAAGATCCCCAACTACTTCTTCATTTCCATAGTATTTATCATTAGCATCTCATTATCCTCAGAATTTTATTTTCATATAACATTCAAGGAATGAAAATGTTAATCCATAATATTTTTAAAAAGAATAAATACAATGTTTGAATAGCTGCACAGATTATCTAGAATCACTTTCCACAACGTGGAGCCCACCAGATGTGTTGGACTACAATTCCCACTACTCTCTCGCAACACAGATATTTTGACTGAATTATGGGGATCATTCACCAATACAACTGAAGCAAATTAGGTTTGGAAAAGCCGATCTAGGATTTAGTATTTAAAGAATCAACATACATCTTGAGACAAGCAATGGCAAAGAACTTCTATACTGTTGTAAAAGAAAAAAAAAGTTGGTGACCATGAAGACACTAAAGAGACCAACTGTCCCAATGTCATCTAGCCCTTATATTCAAATCAGATGGAGAGGCCCTGCTTATGATTTATGGGTCTGACACTGAGTTGGAGTAGGACTTTCCAAACACACCAGTTACAGAACTCTCTCCCGACTGCTTACTTTCGAATGGCAACGTTTTATTACTTACTGTATTGGTACAAGTACATTATTATTACATGAATGCTAAAAAAAAAACTACCAAGGAAGACACAGGTTTCCAACTCATTTATTACAAAGGTCAAAAGCTGCATCACTTTACAGATTGTTCTCATGAATGGCACAAATACACTAATATGCAAAGTAACATCAGCACAACATCCCCTTAATCCAGTTGTAGATTTTAAAAGAAGCCACCTTTATTCATCTGAACTTCATAAGAGATAAAGGATGTGCTTCTCATTTGCCACAGATTTGTAAACAGGTTTATATAGGGTATAGCACCAGAGTCCAGAATCCTGCACAAGCTTATATGCAAACAGCTTTCCTTTTGCTTGGAAAGCATCCTGGTAAAATCATATTTGACCTGAAAGGTTACATATTGGTGCAAGCGAACTGCTATAGCTCAAATGTTACTCATAGCAAACTTCATTTTTCCTTAAAAAATACCGCTGGACAGGTAATCTGAAAACTCAGTGGGCTTTAATATGCAACATTACGTATATTTAATTGTAGCTGATCCAATTATTATGAGAAACATAGCACAAAGAATTTAAAACCATTGACGCATTGCATCGTCCCAAGAATCCCATCACTGCTTTTGGTTTGATAGGTGAAACCTCATTCAGATTATGTAATATTCAGCAATCTTGCTTCTTCGCTGTGAAAACTAAGCAAAATCATTTGAGCAGAACTGTTATTACATTATCAGATGCCCAGGCATCTGGAATTAGCACTGTGCACTGTAATCTGTACAAGGAGAATCTATGATTTTCCAGGCATTGGACGGTTAGAACCACCAGCAGCCCCAACCAGCATGACCAAGGAGGAAGGGTGCCAGGGGTCATAGTCCAATAACATCTGGAGGGCTTTCTCAGCCCTGAAAAGTATTAGTAGAAGGAAGAAGGTATACTGAATTTCAGGGCACAGTGGCAGCAGTGAAGCTGCATTTCACGACACCTGCTAGCATGAATGAGCACCAGGACTGAACACAAAAATAGAGGAGCTATTATTACCATGTAGCAGATAAAATTCTAAAACAATTATTTGGGGCATGTCACAAACAGTACATCGCAGGATGACTATGGAAAGGGAGCTTCTAGAGCCTAGTGGATATTGCAAGATCACCTTTGTCCCATTCACCCCAGTGCAAGTGAGGGGCAGTTCACATTTAGGGAGGGAGTAGGCAACGTCATCTCCCAGCAACATTCATTTCTTATGACCACCATTGCAAACCTATTCCCTTGGAAGCAAGTCTCATCAGCTTCAAAGGAAACTTATTTGCAAACAAATGTGTTGCAGGGGGGAGGGGGAGGAATCCAGTTTGTTCAACCAAAACATCTACACTGAGGGCCTCAGTAAGGCTTTGCACTGGTTTGAAGATCAGTTATTTTACCAAGAGATTGTCCAGACACAGCTGCCTCACTTCAGAAGAAGGTCTCTTTATTGATCCACATCAGGCTGCGTGTTTCATTGGGTTTGCATTCATATTCGATGCAGCCAAAGCTGTTTCCCCATTGGCAGTGGTCTCGCTTATGATAGTTGTAGAATTTGACTTGCCAGACGGTTTCAAAAGTGCCAATGTCAGTGACCTGAAGAGAAAGTAAACCCATCTGATTGCTTCACTACAGCAATGCTTCCTGTTCATATACTGACCTGACCAGCCAACCCGTATGAAAAGCCACAAAACCTATAGCATATTGTGCAGCAAGGAATAAAGCTTTTTTGGAGCAAAGCCATCTCTCTCAAATTAGAGATGTATCAGTGCAATCTGTTCACATCTGTTAAGAGACAAAATGTTCAGTGTGGTTTGCTACCTAGTGAGTTTATTTTGGATTGTAGCACAGCCTCCACTGAACATTATAGTTTGGATCTAGATTTACTGTCCATAGCTGCAAGAGATCTTTTCTTCAGCAGATGTTTGATTCAGAGCAACATTTCCACTGAATGGACAAGGAAGGAGGTACTCTTTGCCGATTCCTTTCTTTCCGTATCATACATGTTTTTCTCCTCTTCCCAAAAATCTGGAGTGAGGGATGATTCTATTTACCCCATAGAACAGATATACAAACTTAAAGCCTTAAAGTTTTCTTTACAAACAGAATAAAATTATTGCATGTGAGTATAAGTATATGCACTATTAAAGATGGACAGGGGAAGAAATTGAAATCTGCCAGAAATTATCTTTCTTCAGAACTATATCTAAGAAGGGGATCTCAGCTCTATTAATATAGATCTGAAGTAAGTCCCCCTGTGTCAATGAAACGTTATGGCCATAAACTGGGAAGGATGATGAAAGGGGGAAGTAAGCAGGAAGACAGAAGAGAGAAAGAAAGAGAGGAGGACTGGACAGGAGGAGGCTGGGGGAAGTGAGTGTAGGGAAAGTAGAAAGAGAGAAACAGCACAAGGAGTGGTGCATAATGAAAAAGAAGCAGTGAAGGGAAGTGGGAAAGATCAGACAACAGTTGGGAAACCTAGCCTGTAAGAAAAAGATGAGAGAGAGAAATGCAGCAAAGGGAAATATGGAAGAAATGTGCAAAGCTGGAGAAAAGGTGGGAAATCCAGTGGTGCATGGACCAAAAAGGGAGAACAGCCTGTGGTGAATAGCAGGCTGGATCTATCCCACTGCTGGGACGGAAGGCTGCATTGCTTTCACTCCTGCCGTAAAGCATAATTGTCCAATCTGCACTGGTAGCCCGAGTCTTTGAAAAGAATCTGATTAAAAGAAATACTGCAAAAAGCATTTGGTTATGTTACTGAGGACAGCTAATCTTTGTCAGAGTTTCAGATCAGTGTTCACGGACTGACCTTTGCTCATCTGTATATATTTCAAATTTTCCAGTGGAGTGATATATTATAAAATTCCTTTCCATAATGACTTTTGAGTCTACTCAGAATCAGAAGCTTCTATGTCTCATCTGTTAGATACTAATGTTTCCTTAATATTAGTTTATGAAGTGCAAAGGGACACTACATCTGGCCCTAAAATCTAATATGTGGCCCCAAAACGTGCTATCATATTGTTGTTAAATTGTAACTATTAATGCAGTCAAAGGGAAAAGTTCTTAAATATGCACAGAATAACCATATCAACTGTACTTCATGTACATTCCTTTAAGTCTGAATTTTAATTGGACCAGATCAAATGCAGCTTCTATCCTGGGTCCTCCATCTTCATCCTGGGCCCTCATGCTTTTGAGAATACAGCCCTAGGATACCATCAAAGATTGGGCATGCCTTCCATTTACACAGCTATTGCTTTCAAGTGTGCCATAAAGAGTAGAAAGATCCAAACCACGGGTGGATTTTAGCAGATGGCACGATAAGGCTCCTCCTCCTGACCACTCAAGCTTAGTGAGAAGAATGACCTTGTAGCACCAAAGCTATTTTAACACCCTCTCCCATCTCCATCCACGGGGAGATCTTATGTAAGAGCTAAACATCAGACTCCCATGTGAAACACACTGATTCTAGCAATGGTTGTCTGAACTTTTGAAAGGTTCCTTGAGAATAGACAGCTCTGAAGCGTTTTTGAAACTTTAAACGGGATGTTTTGAATTTGAAATGGTTTAAAACTGAGAAGTTTTAAAGACAGACAGACATACACACATTTTCCTGGTGCAAGATGGCTGGCAATCAGCCATACATTATAAGGCCAGTGGATACTTGAGGCACTGGACTGGAAATATGGCCTAATATCACCACTTGCACCCAGACTGGAAAAAACAAAGCCTAATTCTGAATCAGGGCTTATTTTAATGATGCAATATTGCTATATTATGTAAAGAGTTAATATGCAGTGTTTAATAGAAAGAAACAATGTGAAATTATAAAGACATTCACACTGTCAAAGACTGTAGTCATAGCCACTGCATGATTACAAAGACAGATTTGAGGGACTTCATCACTGCTTCATTGAGGGACTTAAATTTACTATTTAAAGTAGATAAACTGGGGTAGGCAACCTTTTGATGACCAAGAGACACATTTAATATTTTTTAGGGGCCTGAGGGTTCCAAAATGGGGAGGAGGGTCACATATGTGGCTCAATCTGGGGGTTGGGGGTGGTTCTTTGCTTTTTGAACTACTTATTGTAAGACTACAGCTTTCATGTATTTGTGAACTCAAAATGGTGAGCAACTACACCTTCAGTTTCCAGCAATCATTGTCAGAGATTTCAAAAGCAGTAGCAAAAAGGAGGTCCAGGGGGTACATGTGACTCTGGAGCCCAGGCTGCCCACTCTTGTCATAAATGCTATAACACACACAACTTTGAAGCTGATATAATGACAGAGAATGCAAGAAATTGTGGTACTAATTTGGGATGTTGGACATAGTTGAGCATCTTATGGGCACTCTGACAAATAAAATAGGCAGAGAACATTAATTTACCAGGAAGGTAAGCTGAGACACGATATTCCATGTCACCATTTTTTGCCATCCACTCTGCTGTCTACCACCCTAGCTTCCCTTTTTTCCCCTTTCAGAGCTGGCCAGCATTCTCCCAAACACAGCCCTGCAGCCCCTCTCATGTCTATGTTCTAAGAATGCCCATCAAGCCTATGTGGGGCCCAGAGACATTCTTGACAATAGAGGATACTAGAGGCTCATGCTTTGCTATGTAAGTCCATTTCCCCTGCATCTTTTAATGAAAAGGATTTGAAACAAATGTCAGATGAAGTAGAAGACATGCTGGGAGATATTTGCAGGGACATTACTGCTTACAGACACCATGATAGGGATGCTAAAGGTTTAGAAAATTGTAGAAACTTCCTTAAGAGGACAGTTTCATCAGGAGGTTCTGAATCTTGCAAGTCATCAGATTAAATGATCCTTGGCAGAAAAATGTATAAAATAGGGAAGTAACTTACTGCTCTTAAAGTACCAAAATTTTACAGAGCTGGAATATTATATACCAAGAATGAACAATTTTTTCCAAAATGAGTGCTATCGCACATTCCAAAATGTAGATTGAGCCAGGAAAAAGGAAGATGGGGCTATTGACAAGGAATATGTTTGAAATTATGGGGGGCTACATCTAAAGCTTTTGGGACTGCCTGCAGCCACGATCCCTCAGGTTGGGCATCTTTGTTTCATACTGAAACATGGGATGCTGCACTTCCCTCTGCTCAGTTCAGCTAGGCTGTAAGAATCTGTCAAGTCAGAGATGACTACATCCAGCTCTGATCATAAGTCTTCCAAAGTAATGACCTGAGTTTGTCTCATTCACTGTTTCAATCCTTGATTCCAACGAAGGAGGTGCTCTGAGGTTATGGGCTTGGTAGAGTAAAGGTGAGTTCTACTTTCAGCTGCAAGCTTCACAAATACTTAAAAGGTTAAAGTTCACTGTCAGAAGAAATAAAAAAAGGGCATCATCTGTTCTCAGATAAAGATAGCTAGTTCTTTCAAGTAGCAAGTAAGAATCAGAACAGTCTTGGGGTCAGGAAGCAAACTCCATTGTGGTTAGGGTTTCCTTTCTGTAACAAAGAGCTGACCACAAAATTAGTTTGCTTCTTTCTGAAGCAGGGAAAAGACAGATATAAAAACCTGAAAAGGTGTACACAGCCCAAGCCCAGCTCATTATCATAACAATGATGAATCTTATGTATCATGCAGTTTACTCTGTTTACCCTTCTTTCTGCTAACTTCATTCCATTTATTTTTCAGCTGGATGGTATTTTATCCTCCTCCTCTACTCAGAGATATACACTACCTGTAGGTTGACTTGTATAGGTTGTCTCTCCCCACTTTTGGTGTGAGGAACTCCTTCTGTGTCATAGATGCCACTGTAAGTAACAAGCTGAGGTTCTCTTGCTGTCTCTTCAAGAAGCACAGTTACTCCTCCTATACCCATTGTCCTGAAACAGAATTTAGGAGTCTTAATATCTGTTAGCACTTAATGATCCCATTGATACTATTAATGCAAGATGAAGAAATTAAAAAATCTACTGGGATGATGGTTTTCTATCCATTGCCTTCTCCCATGCAGTATGAATTGATGCCTTTGCTACTGTCACTAAAGCAATCATCTGTCTCCAGCATCTTCCACCACTGGAAGACCTGAAAAACCAGGTTAGGGCTAGATCATCATGGAGAAAATTTATCTATGTGGTCACAAGGAATCAAAAATTACTTGATGGCACATAATCAATTACTCTGTCATTCAAAATGTAATAGGAGGAAACATGGGGAAAAATGTTATGTAGCTGCCATGGAAACAGGGGGCAAGAAGGAAAAATAATGCTTTAAACATTGTTTGTTTCTTTTGACTAATATCCATGATGTTGATTCCATCATCATTTAAATAACACTAATCTAAATTAAGTCAAATGAAATGAAGATAGCATGCCCAAAGAAAACTGGGAGGACTTGGAAATCTTGGATTTGATAGCTCAGAAAAGAGAAATGCAAGATATAGCCAAACTCTTATGTAGCTTAATTATGAGGGGACTGTGAATCACCCAGCTCCAACAGTTTAAATGAAGGTTCAATAAAGAGCAAGCACATGCCCAACAGTCCACCAAATTCCTAAATTATAAAGACACCCAATTTGATCCAATGCATCAGCAATTCCATATGAAGATTTCATTTGAAGAAGGAAGTTGCCTGAATTGCCACTGAATCATTATATCAAACCTGTGCATTGCCCTATTATTACAAAGGAAAATGCCTCATATGCTCAGAGCCCAGGTCCTGTACAGACTGGCATCAGGTCTCCAGATTTCAGGAGAGAGAATTTTCCCAGCCGTACCTGGGAATATTCTGCATGTAAAGGCACGTGTATACTTCTAAGCTACAGCCTTTACTGCTACGCTTCTCTTCGCCTAGAATAGGCAAGCAGCCTTGTGACCTCCAAACAGCAACCTTTCCCAGCATAATCAGTGCAAAGGAAAATGGGACTTTTGGCCTAATACATCTGGACCCCCCCCCCCATGCTTCAAAACAGGAGCGTTGGTGTTCTGGGTAACTGGGCACCACCCACCATATTCCAAAATGAGATATAATCTATCCTTTTAGTATAAACCATAAACATGTTGATCCCAAAAGGCTGAGAAGATACTACAGGACTACTACCTCTTCCTTTAAATAATAGAAGTTAGCCGCAGTTGAAACCTGGTTATATGCCCTACGTTAAGTCACACCCAGCAGAGAAGAAGCTATGCGAGCGAGTGAACCGTTATATAACAGGGACCGGAAAGCTTTCGCCGACTGGCCAGCTCCTCTACCTTCATTCCGAATTGCCACCATTCTGCTCGGCGTTTCTTACACCCGTCTCTATTTTCTCGTCCCTGCCCTTAGATAAGCCCTAAAGATCGCTGCAGGCCAGGCCCCGGTCCCGCTTGCTTTCGCCTCGCCTATCCTTCGGCTTCACACAGCGAGAGGCGACTAGGGCGTTTCTCTCCTAGGCTTACCGCTCCCCGAGAAGCGGAGAGTCTGGATGGGTGTGTTGGTCTCCCGCACTACGGCTACGGCTGCTTGCAGGACTGACTGGTGAAGGGGGGAAGAACGGAGCGAGGTCGTCGCAGGCGTTCTGTAAAACTGGCAGAGAGAAGCCACAATCCCACGGAAGGAAGGAAGGAAAATGGAAGCGCCTGCCTGTCCGTTCGCCAGGAATAAATCTCTGCGCTCTACAAATAAGGGCGGGCGGATTACGAGGAAGAGAAGCTACTTGCAGGGACGGTGAGGGATGCGCACTTACGTGGCATGGATAGTCCCCGGCTTGAGGGCCACCTCGACCTTGTATTTGGCCCCCGTCAGCAATTTGATGGTGCGATTCTGGCCGAACCTCTGGCCGTCCACCTTGAAGTAGACGGGGCCGTCGTTCGGCTGGATCTTGAGGGAGACCTTGATCCGGACCACGGGGGGCACCTCGGCCATGGTGCTCGCGGCGAGGATGGAGGGATCAAAAAAGAGGAGGGATCGGGCTCAGCCCCCCGCGAGATGACGATCGCGGCCCGTTAAGCACCCGCTCCAATCCGGAATCGAGCAAACCGGGCCCATCTGTGCCTGCTCGGTTTTCTAGCCGCGAAAGCGAATCTGGTTCGGCCTGCTTCCTGCGCTCGCCCAATCCACGAGGTGACTGAGGGAGGGGCCCAAACCCAAACAGCTGGAGCGCGGGATAAGAGCGGCGGAAGATCGGCTGGAAAGAAGCCGCGCCCGTGGGAGGGGAGCGCGGATTCTCAGCAGCTCGGTGGAAGAAAAAGCTTCAACTGTCACGTCGCCATCGCTGCGACCAGCAACTTGCGCCCGTGGAGCAAGGGCTCCTTTGCTTTTGCACTACAGCGGAGCCCCCCCCCCCCCCAAATGAAGGAAAAAAGAGGCCGCTCTTCTTTCTCGGGGCGCGGGGCCCCCCCCCCCCCCCCGCAAATGAAGGAAAAAAGAGGCCGCTCTTCTTTCTCGGGGCGCGGGGCCCCCCCCCCCCCCCCGCAAATGAAGGAAAAAAGAGGCCGCTCTTCTTTCTCGGGGCGCGGGGCCCCCCCCCCCCCCCCGCAAATGAAGGAAAAAAGAGGCCGCTCTTCTTTCTCGGGGCGCGGGGCCCCCCCCCCCCCCCCGCAAATGAAGGAAAAAAGAGGCCGCTGTTATTTCTCGGGGACGCGAGTACCACCTCCTCCCTCATCGCTAGCGGATAGGGAAGCAGCGTTGGGCTTGCTGCACCTCGACCTTCTGGCCCTCCAGAAGATAAGCTAGGATAAGCTGGTATGTCTTCCATCATCTCCAAAGTTCTTCAGTCAGGTGCACCGCAGAAGCATTGGTAGGGTTTGTGCCTGTGGTTCCCAGCTGGCCTTCTCCAGTGGAACTTCTATGTGGGTGCTGGTGCTGGACATCAGGGGATGATGGAATGGGAGATACATTTGAACTGCTTCTGGGCTGGAGAAAGCCTTTGCTTTCACTGACAGAATGAAAGAGGGCAACTGAGCAGGTACAGAGTGCTGCTCCTATGTTCTTCTGGGTAGCACTTGAGGGCTTGTCCTCTCTGTCCAGCAGCCCAAAGAATGCAAGCAAGAGAGTGAAGACAGATAGGAGCATTTTGTCAGAAAGGATTAAGAAAACCTGACCAATTAATTTCTTTCCAGGTCTATTTTCCTAAAGTGATAATTACAAAATTATAGCTAACCTGTTGGAATTCTTTTATACAATATTAGTTTCCTTAACTGGTGGTTTTTATAACCAACTCAGCATGGTGGTGGCCAATTATTCATTCTTGATCATGCCCATTCCTTTAAGCATGCAAATAATGGTAGCATACTTTTATAAAACAGGGGGAAAGCTTTTCAACTTGAGGGCTACATTCTCTAATGGTTTAGTTCCTTGGTTCACATGTTATCAGTGAACGGGAATGAACCGTCTCTCATATCCTTGGTACACACCCTAAACCACCCATAGCTTTCTCAACTGAAATACAATCTCTGTAATCAGAAATCTACACACACTGAAAGTAATTCTCTTTTAGAGCAATAAGACTTCGGAAAAGATATCTTTCATTGACATCAGTGGAAGTTTTGGGGGGAAACCTAGCTGCATTATTGGAAGCCCAACTCCTGCATAAAGTGTTAAAGTTGACTCAAACTCATCACCTGGAAAGCATATTGTTTTCTCAGCAAAAGTGTAGACATGGCTTTTAATTGCCTTCTCCTGGGATGTCTTGGCTGTCTCTCATCCATGAAAGTGCTAGCCAGATCCGGTCCAAGATTGGCTAGTTGTTTCTAAATATGGCCTGCAGACCACAAGAGTCTCATCTGCAATGTATCTAAAAGGTGCTTCAATATTTATGGTTTCAAGAAATAAGACACTGAACTCAAAATCAATGTGATATGAATTTCATTGCAGTATAAGAAAAGTGTATGGATATGTGGTGGAGAAGAAAGAGAAGCAAGCTCTTTTAAAAAATTACATTCGCATTGAATTGTGTAATCCACATTCACAAAAATTGTCCATTATAAATCTACATTTGTCACTTAATATATTCTGGTAATCTAATCAGCTCATAGAGATCAAGAAAGCACTAGGCTTCCTTTTGAGCCCCCTATTAGTGATAGCAATAATAGACAACATATTTAAAAAGTGAGATATAATTTGAATATGTTTAAGAAAAAAAGAAAAAGCAACCATCTAAATTTGAGGCCTTTTTGATCTTGAGACCCAGATCAAGTGGCCTTCCTAGCATTGTTTTCAACTGGCTCCGATTGTAACTAATTACTGACTACATTAATTATAAAAACAATGCTGGTGAATAGATACACATAATTTTATATAGGTTGCTGGGGGAGGGTTGGTTTTTTTTTTTTTGTTTTGGGCTCAGGTTTTTTGGACCCTTCAGGGGATGCTTGGGGAATGCCTTTTAGTTTTTAAGGCAAATTTTTTTTT